CATTCTCCATCTCAATATCAACATCGATTGACTCGGCCATGATTCTGTTCTGAAATATTTCAGTTTATTTACAAATTAATCGTAGCAAAAGAGGTTGCAAAGCCACATTCTGACGAAAGGGCTCCACTGAGATACACGAACAGTGAATACACGGAACAATAAATACATTCAATATAAAAAAGGATTAATAACAAAATTAAAAATTGAATCCTCCTCCGACGAGACGTCTCATGCGGCGAGTATTACGATCTTGATCTCGCATCTTCTTTTCGATTTCTGCATCAGTCAGTGTTTCAAGGAACGGACCCCACTGATCTGATTCAGCAGGATTCCTGAATTTTGAAAAAAAATTATCAACAGCTCAACTTTTTAGTTTTACCTAAATGGGCATTCTACAGTTGGTTGTGGGCTCTCTGAAAAGGCATAAGTTCTCTGATTCCACTGTAGCTGTCCCCGAATAGAGTAAGCTATAGCAGAAGCAAACTCTCCACCTAAGCCGAGTTCACTACATAGAGATCTAGCAAAGTCTTCAGGGTTGTTGTTAGGATCAGACATATCCCACCTAGATAACCTTTATATGAGAACGGAAAAAATTGACTTACTCGAACTGATCAACAAGACTTTGGTTTCCCACGTTAATATTAAGTTTAAGTATAGCTCTTTGGTCAGACACGTTATTATCAAGAGGAGGAGCTTCGGTAGCAGCTTCCAACTACATATACAATTTGAAATAAAAAATAGGGATACTAAGTTGCATACCTGTTGATGGATGGCAGCAGCAACAGCAGGTTGGAAGTTGTTAGAAGGTAAATCCAAGTCTTCGCATATGATCTCAGCAACCTGAAAGACACATAGTGAAAGAAATATATATATACTTCATACCAAATCAGGGGTTATCAATTTCTCATTTTTATTTATGCAAAAAGTATCTCTGAGCTTCACTCCTTCTAACTCCATATCCAATCTGATTGGAACCAAATCTTCGGGTACTTCGGCGTTCTCGGAAACACTGAACACCGAATATTACATACATTCTACAATAAAACTATCACCGCTTAGCCAACTCCAAGTCTTCAGCACTATAAGCAACATCTCGTGCTTTGACACGACCTCTAGAATGAGCTAGAGGAAACGAGCATGGAACTGATTCCAAGTGATGAGAACCGCTTGTAACCTGTGGAACGGAATGAATTCAGCAAAAAGAAGAGATATTACTTGTTGTCCTGCCCAACCAGGTCCTTGTTGTGGTTTGCCACCTTTAGCTGGAGTTTGGTCAACTCTGACCTGCGAAGGAGCTGCTCCGGCAGCTCTATACTTCTCTTCCTGACCATTCAACAATTCATCAATTTCAGGAGCTTTCACAAGCCTGTATGACAATTAAACAAAACGTAATACTGTGAGTGCTTACATGATATTAGTATGCATAAAGGATTGAGAAAGAGCTAATTGCCTGAGCTTCTCTTTGTCTTCTTGAGTAGCTACTTTCCTCCATAGTACAGGATATTTCTTATAAAGAGTACCCCTGTGGAGTTTCAAATAAGCACCGATCTCGGCTCCTTAACACATAAAATGATAAATAATGAAACAAACTGTAATTTACCGATGTAGTAGCGCTCCCCAGTATCATCCAAAGTGAATGAATGGGGCCGAGGGCCATACGTAGGTCCAATAACTGTCATTCTGGAAATAGGACTCTCTAAACACATGTATTCAGTAGTTTTTGAAAATTTGCGACAGCTTGATCATCGCTCTTCAACGGATTCACGCTTTACAGATTAAACTTGATGGAAAAAGGAAAAATTCAATCAAGAAATGCATTTTCGAAACAAAATCTATATCTAAAAACCACCAATGACGCGCAGTACCCACTCTGGGCGAGGCGGTCAGCACTAATTTGAACATTTTAGCAATGGAGCGCGCTTACCAACTTGTTAGAGATGACGCTAAGCATATTGTATAATACTTTTCTTCACATTTGTTGGAATTAAAATCATAATGATTATAATTTTGGAGATATATGAAAGATTAAACAAATAGGAACATGTTTACTGAGTTTTCTTGCAAATAAATTAAGATGACAGAGTTACATTGCTCGATTTATCGGATCCACAGTTTGATGAGGATGAAAACATCAACAGACAGATTAAGTTAACAATACATAACGGAAATGAATGAACCTGTTTGATAGGCCTCATATGAAGATATAAGAGATGAGGAGCTAATATTGAGAGTAAA